GGCAGCGCGGAGGGGCCCGCGCCGCCTCCTGGCACCGGCCACCGGCTGCGCCGCGGCCTGTGGAGTCACCCGCGGGCGCCTCCGCGGTGGCGCTTTCGAAAGCGCCGGCTCTGCACCCGGRTCCGCGCGGCGACGCGAACAACCTCCGAGCTAAAACCTGCCTCCTGTTCCAGGACAGCTTGAAGGTGCTGCGGTTGACGCTGCCCAATGACCTCCCGGGCGACAGGCGGGAGCAGGTGAAGCAGAAGGTGCGTGAGCCCCTCGCGCGCCAGYGTGGGGCTTCGCGGGGGCGAATCTCAGGAGGTTTCCCTGCTTCTGTGCAAAGCTGGAACGGAAAATGCAAGTTCGGGTGGTAACTTTGGAGATGGGGAACGCGTTTGGAGGGAGCATCAGCTGCTTTTTGCTTCACGCAGGGACCTTTTCTCCTAAGGCATTAAACGCCGCGGCGCCGATTCCTTAGGCCATGTTGCCGACTCCTGCTTTGCGCTCGGCAGTAGCCGGGCAGAGCCCCCCGGGCGGCCGCCCGCGCGTGACGCTCCCTCCTCCGCGTGTCTTGCAGCCGGTCGGAAAGGCCTTCGCCATGGTGGCCAACAGATCGAGCAACGGGCATTCCCTGGCCTCCGAATGCATCAAGTCCAACGAGGGCGACGAAGAGATCATTAAGGTAGGGCCGGCGGTTTCGCGGAGCTGCGGGCTGCGGCGTCGCGGCCTCCGGGGAGCCCGGGCCCTGCGCTGCCGTTGCCGCCGGGCCCGGGGCTCCGTCCGGCGTCGCTCACGGCTGCTCGGGTGCCCCCGTGTCCCTTGCTCAGGTTTACCTCAAGGCGCGGGCCGAGGGCAGCGTGAATCACGACGAACACGTCAACCAGCTCAAAAGCGAAGTGCGTTACATCCAAGAGGTAGGACGTGCGTGGGGCTGGGCGCTGCCGGGCGCGGGGCTGCGGCCGCTCTGCCCTCGCCGGGGTGTCCCGCRGCGCCTCTCCCCCGCGGAGCTGCCCCTGCCTCCCGCTGCAGCACCCACCGCCCCAGCGAGGCCCAAACGTGTGTCTGAAGTCTCCACAAACGCCAGCAGCAGAGCCAAACTCTCCAGTTTGTTGACTTGCCCATACAGGGCCCGAGTCTAATCGAGCGCCATAAATTAATTCAGCCTGACTAATTGCTCTGCTATATGGACTGGATTTGAAGAGAATTGCGCGCTGACTTTCCCCCAAGGCTGTCCCCCGCGTGCCTGGGTGCGGCGCAGCCGGAGCCTCTTGTTAAAAGGCAGTTCCTTTGGAATGTCTCATCTCCCAGCAAAAGCTGCATGATGAGGCTGTCGGGAGGTTTAACCCTTCCTGCCGCTCCTGCTGGGGATGTTGTTTCTGGCGTGGGCTGCTTGCAGGACATGGAAGTGGGTGCCTGCGCGTTCTGGTCTGGGTGATCCCCCATCCCACAGTGCAATCTGGGGCTTGTTCTCGCGCGGGAGCTTCTGCGCCGGGTGCTGCCACGGGGYGCAGCGAGGGGCAGATGTGGCAGCAAAACCAGCAGATGCTTCACGTCATCCTGCTGACTCCTCTGCCAGGAAGGGTGTTTTTAATTTTCGCCCTGAAGACAAGTGTCCTGCTGCCCGCAGCACGGACGCGATGCGGCTGCTCGAGCCCTCCTGGCGTGCTGGGCTCCGCTCGGGACCGCCCGGACGCCGCCGTCCTCCCCGCTGCTGCGGCGGCGCCTTTGGCTCTTCTGCCGGAGCTTTCCTTTAGCCCCGGCAGCCGCGAGGGAAACGGGAGGCTCCGAAGGCGCCCCGCTGAGAGCGGAGCGTGGCGGAGCCCTCGTCCTGCTGCAGGGGCTGCAGCCCCCCTGCAAGAGCTGAGGCAGCCAAACCGCGCAGCGCGACGCGCGCCTGCACGTGGAAAATGGCAAATGAGCTAAAGCCACGAGCGGTGGCGGTGGGACCCGGCACGAGCTCGTGCAACTGAAAAAAAACATCCCCTTTGCATGTCTCGATTGAGCAAAAGCAGAATAACCCAGCGCTGTCCTCGCGCAAAGGGCTCGATTGCCGCCCTGCCGAGCAGCGCAGCGCGTGCCGGAGCGCTGGGGTTGCAGCCCCTCGGCGCATGCTATRGAAAATGAGGATGAGGCCTGAGGTTCGCTCCTCTGGCTCCTTTTTCCCGGCTAATTCGGGTAGCTGCAAGTCAGGACTCTGCTTGTTTGAGGCTCGCAGGGTGGCAGAGACGGAGCCGGGGAACCACAGGGGGTTCAGCACTTCCAACCTCTGGTTGGCGACCGTCTCCTCAAAGGAGGAACGGGCGATTACCGAGAACTCGGGAGCGTCTCCAGACGTGCCGGTTTTGGCCCCGCTGAAGGCGCRCGGCAGGCGCGGAGCCGCTCGGCGCGGGCGGCACAGGAGCGGGCACCGCGTCCGCGCCGGGGCTGCCTCCCGCGCAGCCTYCCCGGGCTGAGCGGCGCCGTCCCTGCCGGTGCAGCTAAATTCACTTGCCTTTGCCAGGCTAGAAGTTCTTTGAAGAAGCTGCGGGAAGACTTAAGTAGTAAACTTGAGAGCAGACAAGGAGATAAACAGCCTGCACAGGTAACGAGAGCATTTCTCGGGCTTTAAGTGACCCTTTTTCTTTTGGTCTTAAAAACAAGATGTCGTCGCTGGGTCCAGAGAATGATTAAACAAAATGCGCCTTAAAGATTGAGGCGCTCGTGGCAAACGAAAGCCACCTTGGCACCGCTGCCAGGTCAAATTAGCAAGGTGCACGAGCCAGTAACGAGGAGTCAGTGAGCAGCATGCGTTGCCTGGCCAGATGCGTTGCTGCATGTTCGTTTGCGGGGGGAAAAGGTGCGAGCGGCGCCGCCGCGGGGCCCCCGAGCCGGCCGGCTGCCGYGCTCCTGCCCCCGGTGCCGCTTTGGGCTTGGTCGCGCGGCGGCTGCTGTGACCTTCCCTTAAATAGGTTGTGCTGGAGGAGCACAACGGGAGCTGGCTGCACCCCGAGAGGCTGCRTGCTGATTCCTGGGAGGACCAGGTATGTAGCCAAAAGGGCATTTCTGAGTTATGAGCAGTAACTCTTTTTTTTTTTCCTTCTTTTTTTCTCCCCCTTCCATCCTTCTTTTGAAATCTCCCTCCCAGCAGGCAGCTAAGAGCATGTTCAGCATGTGATCAGGCCTTGCCTTTTACAACTAGCTGCTGCATTAGTCTTTTAGCAGCATCAGGTCAGGAATGCACTGCAGCTTTTATATAAAAATGTCAGCAATGGGTTTTTAGATCTCTGAGGACGAGAGCTTTCTAAGACACAGAGCTCCCAAAAGTCTGGTTTTGGTAAATCTTTCTTAACTCGTCTTATTTTTTACCCCTGGGGGAGCAGGGTAGAGGCTCTGAGCAGCACAAAAGCCTCTGACAGTAGCGGCTCCAGGGTTGGGATTTGGGATTCAGGGCTCGGGCGTCGGCGGGATTGTCGGTGCCGGGTTTCGGGTTTCCCAAGCGCGGCTCGCGCTGGCATCCCGGTTCCCCCGCGCGTGGGCAGGGAGGACGGCGGCTCCTCTCCTGGGCCGCGTGCAGGTTTGGGGCCGCGGGCTTTTATGCAGCCCGCAGAAGGGAGCAGGGTTCCTCTGCTGCCCCCTCGCTGCCCTCGTGCCCTCTCTGCAGGAGGAGGATTATTTAGGAGACGACGTGGAAAAAATGCGGCAAACGGCCAGGAGGCTGTTCACGAGGCTGCAGGAGGCGGAGAGTCGCCACCGGCTGGAGAAGGCCGCCTTCGAGGTGAGCGTGCCGGGCGCTTCCCGGGCACGGCGCACGGGGACGCGCTGGGATGCGGCCGGCAGGGTGCCCGGGGCCGGGGCYGCCCGCAGCCGCGCTGCTCTGAGCAGCACTGGCCAAGCTGCCGTGCTGCCCTTCCCCGGTGCCCGCGGTTACTGCTCCCCCTCGGGTTTGTTTTCCCGTCTGCGCGCTGCCCGGATGGGCTGGGCCGCACTGCTGAGCGGTTGGTGGCAGAGGTGACATCCCAGTTTGAGTCCGGTCCCACAGACCAAACTGGTCCCAGGCAGTCCCCCTGGGGCGGCCCGAGGCCGGCGCTTGCCCTGCTTGCTGAGGAAGTGGCTTTGGGCGACAGCCTCTCGCCCCGGCGAGGCAGCGCGGCYGCGATGACGCAGCCGTGCGGAGCGCGCTGGCGCGTGCGCCCGGGCCACTCCGGCCACGCACGCCAGGACACCGCGGCTCCTGTGCCCAGCCGGGCACCCGCGTGACGCTGCCTGGGGGCTGCGAGACCGGGCGGCAGTGCTGGAGATGCCAACCTGAGCGTCTCGCGTCCGGGTGCTCCCGGTTTGCCTTGTGCTCCCAGCTGGCTGCAGCAGGCGCTGTGCGCCGGTTCCCGGGCTGCGGGCGCATGACCGTGGCCGGCTCCTCGGGGAGGCCCGYGGAGGGCACGCGGCTGCCGGCMAACACCGCGAGGGGCCCGCGGCACTGCGGTGCGGCGCTCGGAAGCCAGGCTCGGGTCCCACCGAGCCTGCTCTCGGCAGCGCGTCGGGCTCGTCGTCGAGCCGCGCGAGTGCCGTGCGCGGACCAGGCTTTGGGTAGCCGCGGGGCTCCCAGCCCGGCCCTGGGGGAAGGTCTCCGGCGGTGGCGGGACGCGCCGGGCCTGGCACTAACGGGCTCTCCCGTCTCGCCCGCAGCGGAGGGTCTCGCAGTACCAGGCGGAGGCGGAACAGGCGAGCTCGGCCCTGCGGAGAGCGGAGCAGAGCGCGGTGGAGAAGGAGGTGCAGGTGGACGAGCTGCGGAGGCTCCTGGCAGGCATGGAGAAGGTATCGCCTGCACGGCCGTGACGGGGCTGGCTGGRCGAGCAGAGCTGCCCSACCCCTCTGTGGCACGTTGAGTTGCGTGCCTTGAGCCTAGAGGCCCTGGTCACTCTGGGCAAACCTCTTCTAGGCATCCTCGAGCGAGCGTGCGGTCTGCGGAGGTGCCTGGCRCTTCCCCTCGTGGGGGCATTAATGCAGCCTTCGCTCCTGATTTTCTTTTGGCTGTGGTGTGCTCGTAAATAGCATTAACCCCCTAAACCTCCGTGTGAGCACGAAGCAGCCTGCGAGTGCTGCGTGCCCAGCAGCAGCGAGGGAGAGGGCGCTGGGCCCTGCCCGTAGCCTGGGCGAGGAGGAGCGGGGCGGCTGCCTTGTCTCAGGTGGCAACCCGGGTCTTGGGAAAAGGCCCCTCCGGCCGCTGGAGAGGCCGAGCGGAGGCGGCCGCGCTGCCCGCGCGCTCGCGGCTCGGCGCGGCGGCCGAGGAGCGTGTGCCGCAGCCCGTTTGCCCGGCGTGTAACGCGGCCTCCCGCTCTGCTGCAGGAGCACGGCAGCCTGCTGCTGAAGATGAAAGAGGGCGAAGCCGAGCTGGCGCGGCTGCGAAGCACGGAAGGCGACAAGCTCGCTGAACAAGACCGGTGAGGCTCGGCCTCCGGCGAGGCTGCCAACTCCAGAGCAAGCCCACGCCGCCGGGTCGGGGTGTCAGCTCGCTGGGGCATGACTGCACATTCCCGCGCAGGGCGTGCGCGCGCTCCGCTTTGCAAAACAGCGCCCTGCTCCCCGCAGCTGACTCATCCCACATCCCTCCCGCGGCTTGGCTCCGCGCGGAAAGCCGGCCTCGGGAGCCGGGCTGCTCTGGGACCTCTAGCGGCCGCGCCGCGGGCTGGAGAGCAGCTCGGCCGCGGAGCCTCCGCGCCAGCCGGTCCTCCCCGCCGCCTTGCGCCGGCTCCACCCAGCCGGGATCTCGGTGCTCCGGGGGTTAACCGGCAGCGGTTTGTTTCTGGAAGGCCTTGTTTTGTGGCCTGCYTCTTGATGCTGCTGTGTCCCTGCAGTCTGCTGCTGCTGGGGCCTGTGGCTCCTGTTCGAGTAAGGTTTGTTCCGTGTCTGCCTCTCCTCGCCTTGTCTGCTCGCCGTGCTTCAAGAGCTGTGCAGCTGGAGGGACTTGGGATGAGAGCTGCTGCGGGCACGGCTGGAGGCTTTCCCCGTTCTGGGAAGGCAGCCAGCAGCTCCCGGGACCCTCCCTTTGGGCTCCCCCAGGTCGGCCAAGCTGGAGAAGGAGGTGGCCATGCTGCGGGAGAAGATCCACCACCTGGACGACATGCTGAAGAGCCAGCAGCGCAAAGTGCGCCAGATGATCGAGCAGGTGAGGGCGGCGGGGCGCAGAGCTGGGCAGGACGGGCGGCGCCGCCGGGCGCTGCCRACGGCATCTCGGTGGTCCCCGCTGCTGGCAGCCCACGTGCCCTGTGCCGGGGAGGGCAGCAAAAGGCGACTGACTGTGCGCCCAGTTTGGCCCCTGCGAGAGCCRAGCTGTGCGAGCGGAGGCTGCTTCACCTACGGCTTAATTCTCAGCCTTAATTTGAGGGGGTTTTGGACTGTTTTTCATGYGGACCGCGGAGTTAATGTTCGCAGGCGGAAGGATGGCTGGCTGCGCTGCCCTTCTCCCTCCACCAGCCCCAGTGTAAACGAGAGGCATTTGTAGCTGCTGTGAACTTCCTTTTACAGCTCCAGAACTCCAAAACGGTGATTCAGGCCAAAGACGCTGCGATCCAGGAGCTCAAGGAGAGGGTTTCCTACTTGGAGGCTGAGGTGCGTCTCGCCGCGGCTGGAGCGGGGAGTCTGCCCGAAGCTTCTGGTTGCGATAGCCTGGTGCAGATTGCTTCCGGCAATGAAAATGTGTCTGGTTCTGGGCAAAACGGGCAGCAGCAAAGCTGTTTCCCTGCCGGGAGCCCTCTTTGGAGCCGGGAAATGGGCCCTGCGCCGCTTCGAGGGCCGCGCTGGTTCTCGAAGCTGCGGGATGGTTGTTTGCAGCAGCTGCAAACTCAAAGGGAGCTCAGAATAATCTCGCCAGGCTTCTCTGGCAGCAAAACTCCACTTGCTTACAAAGCTGGAGCTGGCCGCATGCGTGTCAGAAATGAAAATTGCATTCCAGCCTCAAGGATGGTGCTACCTGTCAGACTTTTTTTGGATAAAATCAGAGCCTGTTAGGTCTTCTAAAGCCTCCCTGGCGCTGGTTTCAGTGAGCGCTCCCTCTGGGAAGCTCACTGAAGCTTCCCCAGTTTCTCCCAGGGGAAAAACAAACTGCCCCCTTGCCAGGGGTTATCCCAGGGAATTGCTCTGCTTCCCAGCAAGGCACCCGTGCGCYGCCGCGCTAACCGCCGCTGCCGTCTCCTTGCAGAACCTGGAGATGCACGACCGCATAGAGCACCTGATAGAGAAACAAGTCGGTCGGGGGAGCCACAGCTCGCGGGCGCGCTCCAAGTCGGAGTACGTGAGCAGGTAGGTGGCCCGCGGCCTCTCGGGCGCGGGTTCGGGGTTCCTGCTTGCATCCTGCTGGGRGTTACCCCAGTTGCCCCTTTGGGAAGGGAGATCCCTCTGCATAACCCTCCTTTGGGGAGGAAAGATCCTTAGATCCTTCCTGGGGGAAGTTGTAGGGGGAAAATGGCCTAGCGGGGCTGGAACAGGACTTATCCTGCAGGTTTTCCTTTAGGGCTGGCAGATTTTAAAAAAATATATATATACTAATCCTTTCCTTCTTGCAGCAAAAGGGGGACGGGCCCCAAGCCGCTGCCTCTCATCCGAGTGGTGGAAACATGAGCTTTGAGGGCCGGTCGGAGCTGAAGACTSTCCCCTTGTTCTCACGGACTGGACTTGTCTGCTTGGCTGCGTCCGCTGGCCCCCGCGCTCGGCGTCTCCCCGGGAGCCGCCGGCGGTGGCAGCGCCCCCGGAGAGGCGGCGCTCGAGGACAGGCGGTGCTGGGGAGGTCCTGGCGGAGGAAGGAGGCCAAGGCAGGGTCGCCGCTCCCGTGGAGGCCGGCTCCGTGGAGGCTGGCGGGGGAGGCCGGGCCGCTCCAGCGCCGCCTTTGCTCGCGCTGCTCCGGGAGCAGCCTCAGCCCCACGGAGCCCTCCGTCGGATTCCAGCTTGCCAGCGTGGACTGGGGCTCTAGCTTTATTGAAGATCACGGTTAGAGAGAAGAAATCCTCCTGACACCGGACTCCTTCCTGCAGCACGCTCACTGTGACGACTTGGGAGCTTCCACCTCTGGTCTCCAGCACGTCTCTGGCTGCTCCAGCCCTGGCAAAGGCTCCAACGCCCAAATTGGTGTCTTGACATGCTTTTCCCRGCCCCTTTCTCCTGAGGGTAGAGAAATTGTACCTAGGGTACGTGTTTAGCATTCAAACCCAGAGGCTGTTTAGTTTGTACCCGTATTTATTTCAATAACTTATTGGTGTCTTCCAATGATGTGGTGACAGGCACGATTGCTGCCGTGCAGCTCCCGGGGAGCGCATTTGAGGACTGCCTGTCCCACGTTTGAACTGGAAAATACCAACCCGCTCGCTCTGGGCCCGCAGGAATGTTGTCGGTGGTGCCGCCGCCGCGGAGGCGAGGCAGCGGGCGGTGCGCGGATCCGCCTCGCGCCTCGCAGCACCCGAAGCTGTGTGTAAATAGCCCGTGCTGTGACCTGTCAGCCTGTAGCCRACTGAATACACGCTGTGACCACTGCCCGCGCGTGGGCTCCGCTGTGCGGGGGTTTGTGTGAGCTGGGCTGGGTGACGCCAGCCCGGTGCGGGGCTGGGAGGCGCCGCTGGGGCCTCCGCGGTGCTGCCGGGACAGGGGCAGCGGCCGGGGCGGGGGCAGGACCACAGCGCGGCCCTGGGCCCGTGGGAGCGCGGACGGGCCTCCCCCCGGTCGCCATGGAGACGGAGCCGGCCGGGACTACAMTTCCCAGCAACCCGCGCGCCGCCTGCACTGCACTTCCCAGCATGCCCTGCGCAGCCGCTGGCCTACATTCCCCATCGGCCTACCGGGGGGGGGGGGCGCTCTACGGTGGCCGGCGCGGTCGCGTGACGGGCCGGCTGGGCGCTGCTCGCCAAGATGGCGGACGAGGAGGGCGAGGGGCCGCCGCGCTCGGCGGCGCCTCCGCAGCGCAACGGGGGCGGCGGCGGCGCCTTGCCGGGCCCGGGCGGCCCGCGCGTCGTGCGCATCGTCAAGTCCGAGTCCGGCTACGGCTTCAACGTGCGCGGGCAAGTGAGCGAGGGCGGCCAGCTGCGGAGCATCAACGGCGAGCTGTACGCGCCGCTGCAGCACGTGAGCGCCGTGCTGGGCGGCGGCGCCGCCGACCGCGCCGGCGTGCGCAAGGGCGACCGCATCCTGGAGGTGTGAGTACGGCGGGGCCGGGCTGCGGCCGCCCCGGGGAGCGGCGCCAGGGCCCCCCCGAGCGCCTCTCGGTCCCGCCGAGGCCGTCCCGGGCCTCGCGGAGGTCCAGCCGACACCCCCGCCCCTATTCCCCAGCCCCTTTCTTTTGATTAGCGTTAATTAAGCCCCTTCAGCGACATCCCGCAGCCCCGGCGCGCCGGGGTGGGTTTGTTGCGGCGGTGCCCGTTAGTTTGCAGCTCCGTGCGCGCCGAGCCGGTGACGCTAAGCCCTGGTTAGCGACAKGGCTTTGGGAGCGCGGGGCCGCCGGTCTCCGCAGGGCGCGAGGGCGGCAGTGCCAGGCCCCGCAGCGCGGCTCCGAGCGGCTGCGGGTCCGGCCGTGTCCCGCAGCAGGTGCRGGCGGCTCCCTGCGCGCGGCTGCCTTTCTCCTCCGTGACCCAAATCCTTCGTGCTCGGCGCTGAACCGCTTCTGGGGGCGGGGAGAGGGGGAGAATCCTGTGGCTGGAGGGTCTGGATCTGCGCGAGAGCAGCGTCTGGTGGCCGAGGGGGTTTTCCTGTGCCCCTCGCGAGGGTCYGCGGTGACGCTTCTCCCCGCGGCTGCTGGGGGAGACGCTTAAAATGGAGCATTTAAAATTGCAGGTACGTTGAGGCTGGGGCTCGGGGCCGCTTCCCATCGCAAGCAGGGAGTAACTGTGGAGCAAAAGAACAGGAACGTTCCCTTTTCCGTAGCTTCTGCCCGGGCGATGYCAAGGGAGAAGTGGCTCTTTCACGYGCCCGCGTGTCTTCCCGTGGCGCCTGCGAGCTCCGCTGTCCCGTATTGCCCGGCCTTGGCGTTAACCCGGCTGCCGAAATCAGCCGGTGACCCAAAGCCCTGCRGGGAAGTGGGCCGCGAGCGAGCGCCGATTCCCGCCGGCACTGCCGCGACCCGCCTCCTGCAAGCGACCTGGAGAGGCAAACAATAAAACTGCCTCCAAAAATAGCTCCCACTTCCCTTCCTTCCCATGGCAGCACCCTGTGCACAATGGCGGGGGCGGCGTTCCCAGGAGCCGCCTGGTGCTGGGGCCCGGCTGCTGCTTCGGAGGCCCCGTGAGCCGCCGGCTCCGGCTTTTTCCTTGGAACCGGCGCCCAAGAGAGGCGCTTCCTGCGGCACCGTTGAGTTTCTTGAGCTCTTGCCTGCTCCCCTCTGAAGAATGGCTGTGAGTAACGGGATATCGAGTGCGTGGGATGTGGTCCGCGGTGTGCGTTGCTCCAAGGCTCCGCTCCTGGAGCGGGTGTCCGGATCTCCCCCGAGGCAGCTGCTCTTGCTGCCAGAGGGAGGGTGGTTTGGCAGCGCCGCGGGCTTCATCCAGGGCTGCTTCGAGTGATGCCTGAAGGGTTTATTTGGATCCTCGTGCTTGGTGTTAAAAGAGAAAATCCTCCGTTGCCGTCTGAGCTGCTGTATCTGGCTCTGCACGTGTGGTTTTGAAGGCTCGTTTTCTCCTTAGCCAGGCAGCGCTTCTGAGTCTTTGTAGCTCGTTGGGTGTTGGTGGGTGTTGAGGCTGCTGGAGACAGATGACAAAAACGAAGCTGGTTCTCGGTTGTCACCCACGGTGACAGTCGGAAATGCCGCCGGGGAGAGATGTCCTGCCGCGCCGAGCTCCCGTGCAGGGACGTTCACCCGGGAGAACGGAGCAGACCCAGGAGGGATTCGGTTTGCAACGCGGTTGAAAAGCATGGTCTTGAGATGCGGTTCCCAAAGAGGCAATTCCCGAGGAACGGCCGCTGCGCCTGCCACTCCAGAGGGAGGTGGTTTGGCTGGAGCGGCTGTGCCAGCCCTGCTGGGACGGGCGGCGTGTGGAGGGCAGGGGTCGGTTCCCCCCTATTTCCCTTTCTGCGTCGGGGCCGAGGCGCCCGGCCCGCCGGGACGGCTCCGCCCGAGGAGCCGCCGCTGCCTGCAGGCCTCTTCTCTGGTGCCAGGGTGAGCGAAGAGCCCTCGTGCCCTGCGCCCTCCGCTGAGGGCACCGCCAGGCAGAGGCGAGAGCCGCTTTACCTGCCGGGCACTGCCTCCGAGCAGGGCTCCGCGCCGCTAGGAGAGCGAGGCCGAAGCGCGGGCCTCGAAAGCCGCGTGCGCCGTCCACGGTGGGCCCGAGATAAGGAAGCCGGTTACTCCGGGGAGCCTCGGCATTCCTGGCATTCCTGGGAGCCGCTGCTCCGCGGAGCCGCTCTCGGAGCGAGAGGGGGTTTCGGAGGGCCGGGCGCGTTGGCCCTGCGGGGCTGCGCGGGTCCCTCTCGAGCAGCGTGTCCTGACGGTGGTGTTGAGCCCGCGAGTCCCCGGGGACCTGCCGCCTCGGCGCGGTGCAGCGCGCCGGCCGCGGGCTGCCGAAGCGGCCCAAGCGTTTCTCCTCCTTTCAGCCAGACCAATAGCTTTCCACCTGYGGAGTAAACACCTGCTGGCTTTGCAGTAATGTTTAAATTAAACGAAACGACCGCTCCCGGCAGCTGCTGCGTGGTTCTCGGCTCTGGGGCACTTTGGAATCGGTTGGGATGGATCCGCAGGCGCTGCGGGGAGCGCTGGAAGGGACGTGGCCGCCTGACGGGGATGCGCTCCAAGGCGTTTCCATGCGGAGCTATTCCGGGGTTTGGGATTAGCTGCCCAACGGCTTTGAGGATAGAGGGGCACCCGTTGCCGCAGGCTCGTCCTGCTAAGCTCATTAGCTTCATCTTYGTTTCCAGAGCCTCCCCGAGGAGGTAGCCCAAAGAGTGAAGACTTCTAGGAGTCTTCATCTGCTAGAAGAGCAAGGTTGGTGCAAGTGGGACTGTTACGGATGACTTAAAAACAGCTTCCCGAGCAGCGTCTTTGTTGGGTTCGTGTGCTCTGATGGAACAGAGCACGATCTCAAGGAAGCTTCTTGCTTCCTTGGTCTCGATCTCAAGGAAGCTTCTTGCTGTTTTCCTTCCTATAAATTTTCTCGTCATCTCTTGACAGGCAGATAGTTGGGGAATTTGAAGCCATGTTCTCGGCGAGTGAGTCATTCCGCGCGCAAATGGGGAACATAGGGACGCTCCCGGGTCCGCGGCGCTCGCGCGGCAGCGGGGCCGGCGCTGCCGGTGTCGCTGCCCGGCGCCGCGGCCCCTCCTGAGGGAAGCTCCCGTCGGAGGCGGCGCCGGTGTCCTCRGCTGCTCCTGCTCCCAAAGGGAACCGGAGCCCTTGGTCGTGCGGGATACGGAGCTAGACGGACCCGCTGCGGCTCCCGGAGCGCCCGGCGGCCTCGGGGGACTCCTGGTGACCGGAGGCTTTTTTCCCCTCTCTGCTCCAGACCTGGACAGTAGCTCCAAGAGGGAAGGATCCCGTTGAGGAAAGCTTTCCGTGTGRCTTTTCGAGCACATTTATCCCCAGGAACCTGGAGGCTGCGTCTGAGGGTCGCKTCCCCAGCGTCCGTACGGGAGCTCTAGCGTGACCAGGCGTTAAGGAGGCTGAGGAGTGTGATTAACACCAAGCTGCAGGAAGCTTTCCCGTCCAGCCTCCCGTTGGTACAGGGTTTAAGCACGAGCACTGCTCATTTCACTTTTTTTTCCCCCGTCTTCCTGTCATTTTTTTAACTAAGGGAAGGGAAGGAGGGAAACTGTTTGGGATCGAGGCTCGGTTGCTGGTGGCAGCAAGAAGCTCCTGCGCTGGTTGCTTCCAGACTGGGTTCAAGGAGCAGAAAGGGACCTGTGGGCTCTTCGAATCCCTGAATCCAAGTCTGGATTCAGGGCTGGGATTCGGGGCTGTGTGGTCCCTTTTGGGGCTCTTACCGGGCAGCAAAGTGGCCTTGTCCGGAGCTGGAAGGGAGCCGCGAAGCTCCCTTTGCTGCTGGGGTGTCCAGGTGTTCCCGAGGGAAGCCGGGAACCTTCCTGCTGCGTGTTCCYTGGGAAGCGTCGAGCGCCTCGGGGGATCCTCTTCGGTTTGGGAGACGTAGAAGGTCGTGCAGTGTTGGGAGGGGTTAATAAATGCTTAAAATGCCACAGTTGGGTTAMAAGTCCAGCCCAAAGGGTGTCTGAACCTTGTGAGGAAATTTTAGCTGAGTCCAAAGCCATTAAACCTAATTTGGTAACTGGTAACCCGAGAAATCACTGCGCGGAAGATGCGTTAATCGAGGTGGGGATGACACTCGGCCGAGCCGGGGCCGCGTCTCTGGTGGAGCACGTGCTGGCAGAGGGCCTGGGTTCCGGGTGCGCCGCAAGCGGAATTGAGTTGCAAAACACGCTTCTGCCAAGCAGAAATTGCAGAATTTGAACACGACAACTAAGCAGGGTGGTTTTTGGGGGGAAGCGGGGGCTTGTGTGTGTTTCTCGTGTGTGTGGTTTGTTTCCCTGGGTATTTTTTGTTCCTGCTTAGCTTGGGTAAGCCGTTAGGGAGGGCGATCCGAAGCCCCAGCAGTGTCAGACCTCTTCAAGTGGCAAATCCTCAAGAGAAGCAGATACACGATGTCCTCCTGGGCCGGGCCTGGCTTTGGTTTAAAGTTCYGCTGTCTCCTTTGCCTTGCTTATGGCCTCTCTGCTTTCTCTTTTGCAGGAATGGGGTGAATGTGGAAGGGGCAACTCACAAACAAGTGGTGGACCTGATTCGCGCAGGAGAGAAGGAGTTAATTCTGACCGTGTTGTCGGTGCCTCCCCACGAGGCAGATAACCTTGACCCAAGCGATGACTCTTTGGGGCAGTCGTTCTATGACTACACGGAGAAACAGGCCGTGCCCATCTCCATCCCCACGTACAAGCACGTGGAGCAAAACGGCGAGAAGTTCGTGGTTAGTATCGGCTGGGGCCGCGAGGACAGGACTGAGAGTAAAGGCCCCGGAATGGACGYGTCGTGAGGTGTAAGGCTTATTCTGGCTCGGTAGGGAAGGCTGCCTGCTCACTTTCCAGCGTTTCCCTCCTCGGAGAGCTGTGTCGGGTTGGGGAGACCCTGCCTTGCTCCGGGCGGGAATGCTCGTTTTGCTCCTGGGATCTCAGAGGAATTTCGTCACTTCATACCGCTGTTTCTCCTAGATAGGTGAAGTTTTAGCTAATTATGGATTGACTGCCAAAGCGGATAATACACTAAGGGCTGTTGRGTGCCATTATCAGACCAAGTTGATAACGCTGCTCCCTTGCTGTGGGAGCAGAACGGGAGAAGCAGCCCCGGCTCGCTCRGCGCCGCGGGAACGCGTCGCTGCGCGGGCGCTGCCGGCGCTCCGAGCTCCGGCCTTTGGTTCCCTTCGGTGTTCGCTGCTGAGCGGCGGCCGTCGCCGTGCGCCCGGGACGCTCCCGAGGCGGCCTCGTCCTTCCTCTCCTCCTGTGGGCCCGGCGCCTGGGAGGACAGGAGAAGGATTCCAATCGGAGGGGGTGTCTGGTCCGAGGAGCCGGCGTGTTCGGGGCCCTGTGCCGCGGCTCGCAACATCCCTGCCGGGTTTTTCTCCTGCTTTCCATGCTGCCTGCGTTTTGCCAGAGCTAAGGAACAATCTGGTGGGTGATGAAGCTGAGGGGCTTGGGATGCGGTGCTGAGGATCGGACGTCTCCGGGATGGCTGCGCTTTGCCTCGTGCCGGGAGGATTTCTGTGCCGCGGTGAATCTCGGAGGCTCCYGGCTGCACGTTGGGCGCAGCCGGAGCACCGGGGCACACGTACGTTGGTAACGGGAGGTGCCGCRAGGCCGGTGACAAAGCGGCTCCCAGCTTTTTCCGCTCCGCGTTGCGCCCGGAAGCGCGAGGAGGCGGCGGAGCGGCCGTGCCGAGCGGCGCCGCAGGACGGGGACGGGGGGCACAGGGCGCGTGTGGGGCTGCCCCCCAGCCCTGCTGTCCCCGCAAGCCGCTGCGCTTCCACGTGGGATGCCGCCCGCTCGGGGAGCCTGGAAGGGGCAGGAGCAAAAGGAGCCTTTGAAAGAAGCCAAATGCCAGGGAGCAGCAGTGGGGCAGCGGCCTTCCCGACACCCCCTGCCCCTCGGGCCCTGCAACTCCCCTTAAAATAGAGAGGACATCAAAGCTTTGATAGGAAAACGGTCCCCTTCCGAAGGGGTTTGGTCAGGTAGTTGGAGTGCAGATGTGGAGGAAAGATGAGCGAGGAGGCCAGGACCCTTTTGGCTCCCCTCTCCTTGGGGACGGGCTGCCCCGGGCTGCGCTCGGGGCTCGGGGGGCTGCTCTGCCCTTGTGCCCGCTTCCCACCGCGTCCCTTTGCTCCTGGGAGGCTAGCGAAGGTAACGTGCTGCTGCTGGGGGGTTCCTTATCTCTGAGGGCATATTAGCAGTGCCTGGATAAAAGCTCATTTCACTCGCTCACGAGACAGAGCAGATTGGCTTTAAAACTGGAGGCGGCTGCTTAATGAATGGGAAAGGAATTCCCTGAAGAGCAGCGAAACACCGTGAAATGTGCTGTGACCGTGACGCTGCCCGCGCTTCTTGTTCGGGCGCAAGCACTATTTCCTTAAGGATGCCCAAAATAAAATTGGGAGAGCGTATGGACAGCAAAGAAGCTGCTCAATGTGTGGCATTTCTGACGCCCTTGACCCCTTGCCGAGGGACCTCACGTGCAGGAGGTGTGTGGCAGCTGCCAGGGGCAGTGCCTGGGTGCCACCCTGAGCCTCCTGCTCCGTCCGGGCCCTCCCGCGTGGCCAGGCAGCACGAGGGGCGCCGGTGGGTGCTCGGAGGGCGCCCGGGCGCCGCGCTGAGGCTGCGCCCCGCTCCCCGCAGGTGTACAACGTGTACATGGCCGGGCGGCAGCTCTGCTCCAAGCGGTACCGCGAGTTCGCCATCCTGCACCAGAACCTCAAGCGGGAGTTCGCCAACTTCACCTTCCCCCGGCTGCCGGGCAAGTGGCCGTTCTCGCTGTCGGAGCAGCAGCTGGATGCGCGGCGGCGAGGCCTCGAGGAGTACTTGGAGAAGGGTGAGGAGYGGAGCCGGGAGGACGCGGCGCCCGGAGGCCGCTGCGCCGCCTTCCCCACCTCTGGGAACCGATTCCCTTGGGTACATCCAGCTGGGGAGACCCTAAAGCTTGAATTCCCCTGACCTTCCTTTATCTAGGAAGGAAAGGAGGGTTTTCATTATTTATTTATTTATTTATTTTTAAKTATTGTTGTAGCCAGGCTGGGTTTTACTGCTGAGATGCTGAAGAGGAAACTCGACCTTGCCTGGCTTAGCGGTGCCAGCGCCTGTCGGCTGCCAGTGCACGTGAAGCAGCACGATGTATAATTAGTTTTTAATGCTCAATGAGCTTATATTTAYCGTGTTGCACTTCTTGCCAGTGATCTTGGAGACGGAGGAAGAGGAGGGCGGCTTTAGAAGGGGGAGAAGGCTGCATTTGAGGCCCCTTTCCTGGGGGATATTCAGCCAGGTGACCATAACCAGGCTCTCTTCTCGCCCAGCACCTCTTTCCGCAATAAACGGTGGCTCAGGGTTTCCYTTCCCAGTATTTCAGCCCTGTCTCGTCCAGCTCCCTGGTCTTAATCTTTGTTTGTGTGTAGGACAGGGGAGCCTGGTTGAGTGTTAGAGGCAACATGATACAGTTGGGGTCCAAAATCCTTGCCCAACTTGGCCTGAACTCACAAATCGTTTCAGTCCCTCTGGGGGGACTTTTTAGAGGTAAAAGTGCTTTTTACGAAGTCCTTGCCCACTTTTAAGCATAGTTTACGTGTCCTGCTGGCTGAGTGCCTGTGCTGGGAATGGCTCCACGCCGCTCAGTGCTTGTCCCTCCCCACTGCAGGGGCTTCGCTGCAAATCGACTTTGCTGCTCGTAATGATGCAGCCTTAGAAAGCCCTCGAAGGCCCTTCGTGGCCSGAGACACCTCCTTGTGTCACGACTGCCCTCTCCCTTGGGCAGAGCGGGCCTGGGAGGGCGGGCGGGCGCCGGCATCCCGCTAACCGCTGCTCTCTGTCCCCAGTGTGTTCCATACGAGTCATTGGGGAGAGCGACATCATGCAGGAGTTCCTCTCGGAGTCGGACGAGGTAGGTGCACCCCGTTGCAGATGGAGGCCGCGAACACTTGGGAAAGCTCTATCCGATGGCAAGGACATTCCCTGCCAAGCTCTATATTTTTTCAAGCGTTTCTCTGGTGCTGGGATCAGATTTTCAAGGCTGGCAGAGCAGCTGGACTTCTTCTCGTTATGAGAAGCGGCCGTGTATGAGTGGCCCTTTTAATTAGCCCGTGCAAGGGCTCATGCGAGTCCGTACAGCTCTGGGCATGTGAACAAATCCAAGCATCTGCCTTGCAGGATGTGCTGAAACCTGGGCCCGGCTCTGTCTGCTGGATCCGTGGCTTAAATGATGCCTGGTTAGCTGTGCTGGAGGCACGGACGTTACCCAAGCTGGTGGAGATGACTCCAGGCCCTAGTTCCCCAATCCAAAGGTGATTTCTGTCTTCTTTTTCTTCCCTCCTTTAGAATTACAACGGCGTCTCGGATGTGGAGCTCCGAGTAGCGTTACCAGATATAACGACAGTGACAGTCAGGGTCAAAAAGAACAGCACCACGGACCAGGTGTACCAGGTGAGCTGGTTGGGCACGTTGGGCGCGAGCCCTGCCGCGCTGCCCGCACGGAGCACGAGCAGCGCTGGAGGAGCCCGGCCTCGCGCCGCGCCAGGCAGCGCTTGCTTCAGCGGGCCTGGCTGCAGGGCCGCGGTCATCCCGGAATTAATATTTCACTGATGGTATCTTGGAGCCGTCCGCCAGCTCGAAGCGCTAGACAGATTGTGTGTTGTGACTGCAGGGAGGGGAATTGGGTCCAAGAGCTGCCTGCGTCCAGCGCTCACGTCTCCCCGTGGCTTGTGTGCCCGGACGAGTTGAGCGGTGAAGGACGGCAGCGGCCCGGGCAGGTTGTGGGTTTGCACGTGGTGCCAGGCCCGGCACTTTAAGTGGAAAATTGGGAACAACCGGCTCCAGCCAGCGCTGCTGGGAACAGAGCAGAAGCCGGCAGTGGACTGGGGGAACAGAATGCAAGGGAGACCCTTTGCTAAAGGGGAACTCATAACAGAAATTATTGCTGCAGGTGAGGGAGCGAAGAGTTGCAGGAACAGACCCTCGGGGATGCGCCGAGCAGAACCCTGCGGGTGGACGGGGTCTTTCGTGGTGCTTTCGTGTGTGTTGGAGTCCGCGTGGCCTCCGTGGAGGCCTCTTAGATCTGGCGCTGGCCTCGGCGCATGGGGCTGAAGCGCTGCTGGGGAGGCTCCCGGGGGAGCTGTGTGCTTTCCCGTGGTGCAACAACCAAAGCCAGAGGCTCCGAAAGCAAAGGGGACCCGGTCATCAGCAGGGGTGGCACTTACAGTCTGGAGCGGTGTACAGGAGGGCAAAAGCAGGAGACTCTAAGCCCTTGCTAAAGGAAAAAATATGATTTGATTTGATTTTGTTTTACTAGAAGCTTATTCAGCATTTCCTTGGTGACTAATACCCGGGGCTAGTGGAAGCTTGTGAAAAGTCTGCATGAAGTTGGCCTTTGCCTTGGAGATGGCTGCTGGAATTCGGCTCCTGTTTTGCTGACCCCATTTTTCCGTTTGTTTTTTTGCTCTTTAGGCTGTGGCTGCTAAGGTTGGAATGGACAGTATTACCGCAAACTACTTCGCCTTGTTTGAGGTGATCAATCACTCCTTTGGTAAGTCTTTTACTCCGTTGATACTGAGAAGCAGCCAAGGAAAAGGTTGTGCAGGTGTCGTGCTCGAGAAGTCCTATCTGTGCTCTCAGAAGGAGCCCTGGGAGGAGTTGGCCAGGCACAGTCAGGTCTAGCAGTGAGGAGCCCTCCAATTTTCCGTTCAAAAGGACCAAAGGGTTTGGGAAAAAGCAGCTGGTGTCACTGAAACGCGGTCCCCTTTGGAGAGGGCTGTGCCAGCTGTGTCCTGGTGCGGAAGAGAAACCASGTTGAGGGCGCGTTGCAGTCTGCACTGCCGTGGGGAGTGCACAGCCCTGTCCAGAGGCAAGTCTCCTTTTCCAAAGGGATGCCTGTCACCAAGTGCATCTTAGTTTTTKGTCGGTTCTTTGCATCCCCGTGGTAACGGAGCCTTCACTGTGGGGTTTCGGGCAGTTGTCCTGTCACCTGTGCCATCCTTCCAGCTTCCTCTGGCTGCTGCTCGGGTTTGAGGCTGCAGCGATCTCTGATTTCCCCCAGCTTTGGGTCTGCTTTGCCCAAGCCGGAGAGAGCCCAAAACATTGCACTTGTGTCACAAGATGTGCGCAGGCTTTTTTACACTCTATCTGAATAGTCACATTTATTCCCATCTGGATACATTCCTTTTAAACTGTAAGCTCCATCTGCAGGAAGACAGGGACCATATTCCACCTGATAGGGAAGGAACTCACCATTTTTTGTCCCTCACAGTCAAGTGAAGCCTATTTGAATGCAATAAACTGTTTGACAGATTAAACTTGTGCTGAAAAGCCCCGCTTGGGGGCATGGGGACAGTCTAAAATGGCATCCTGCAAGGTTTGCTTTGAAAGCACCACCCAGGGTGACGGTGCCCCGTGCTCAGGGCAGCTCCTGCCCTGCTGAGCAGGGTGTCCTTGACTCGTGGCCGGCTGCATGGCCAGCTGGGCCAGCCGCCTTCCTGGCTGCTCCCTGCCTGGAGGAGTTGAGTTTACAGGGAATTTCTGCCGACGGTTATGCTGGAGGCGGCTGGAAGGGGCCGGTATCCCGTGCTGAGGGAGCGGATGTTGAAAAAAAATGGTGGGATTTGATGAGGGAGGGAGAGCAGAGCCTTGGAGGCAGAGCTGGGGTCTTCACCGCGGCCGGAGAGGGGCAGGAGCTCTTGCGGGTGGGCTCGGCCGTCGCCAGCGCGGGGCCGACGCGTTCACCTCGTGTCCTGCGCCGCTTCCAGTGCGCAAACTGGCGCCCAACGAGTTCCCCCACAAGCTCTACGTGCAGAACTACACCTCGGCGGTGCCGGGAACCTGCCTCACCATCCGGAAATGGCTCTTCACTACAGAAGAAGAAGTTCTTCTCAATGACAACGACCTGGCAGTCGCCTATTTCTTCCACCAGGTGAGTGTCTGGTTGCTCCGCACAGATCCGATGCTTTGCTGGAGTTGAGCCAGGTGCTTGGTTCCCAGATCCGCCCCAAAAGCCAAGGAAGGCAGTGAAGAGGTCCCCTTGTCCTCACTACCTGAGTTTCTTTTTATTTTTTTTTCCTATTTAGGCTGTTGATGACGTCAAGAAGGGCTACATCAAAGCCGAGGAGAAGTCCTACCAGTTACAGAAGCTGTGTGAGCAGAGAAAGATGGTCATGGTGAGTTCATCTTCCCCGTGCTGCTTGCTTCCTCTGGCAGGTGAATGCCAGCGCCGTGCCTGGGAATGCAGCGCGCGCAGCTTCGGCAAACACGGCTTTCCTTGGAAAGCGGCGGCACTGGGGAGCTGCGGGCTGTGCGCTTGGCRTGGGTGGGACTGACAGGGTGTGCAGGCCCCCAGGAGTGCCAGGCACGGGGCAAAGCTGTGCCCAAGGGTCTGCCATTCGTGACCCCAGAGCCGCCTTGTGCCTGGCGAGTTTGTACAGGGTGGGAGGTGGGGACTCGTCCTTGGCAAGATCGCAGCTTGACTTGGGTCCAGGCAAGGCAGYGATTAAAATCTGTGCGCTGTTGCCAGCGTTGAAAGATGAGGTGCTTAAAATGGGATGGAGCAATCCTTCACCTGCTGCCCTTTGGGGACAGCAAGTTTTTCTTTCTAGTATTGGAGAGGTAAAAGTCTCTCTGTGCCTCAGGGTGAGAGTTTGAGGGACTATCTTGTCCCGTAGATCGTGATGTTGGACAAGCCGAGAGAAGGAGTGGGTTCAGCTCTGGCCATAAATCAAGCTGATCCCCTCTCTGTGCCTTAGTTCCCTTTTTGTCCAGCAGAAATCTTCCCAAATTGTAAGTTCTGCAAACGTCTGGGCCTTGACGTTTGTCTGGCCCAGGGGCTTTCTTATCACTCTGCCCATCTCGGGGTTTGGGGTTGACTCTGAGTGCGCCTGGTTCAGACAGGGGGGAGTGAAGGGGTGCCCGGAGCTCGTCTGCCAGGCGCCAGCTTGGCTGCAAGATCAAAGAGCAGGAGAATCCCCCGGTGAGTAACTCGCCGGGTCGCTCCCGGCCCGTGGAGCCCGGCTGCCCCTTCCCTGCCCTTCCCAAAGGGCGGCCGCTGGCAGGCCCGTGCTGTGTCCCGGGGTCACCTGAACTGCTAAGCCGAGAATGTGGGCTCTAATAAACTCTTTAATAATTAACTAATGACAGGGATCAGTAAATAGACCCTTCCTCTTGCGGATTATGCTGTGAGCCTTCAGTTCTTGCTCGTGCTGGCTTTCCAGCCGCGACGGAAAGATCCGAATCGCCAGGAAGGCCCTGTCCGCGCATCCCACGGCTAAGCAGCATCTCGCAAGTGCAAAAACGATGCAAAATCAGCTCGTTTGGAGCAAACGGAGAGGCCAAAGCGCGTAGCCCTGCCTGGCCCGGGGAGGAGGCGCTGCGCGGCGCCGGCCGCCTCCGGCACAGCGGGGAGCTCCTGGCGCCTCCGGAGCCGGCTCCGCCGCACGGCCCCGCTCCCTGCTCCCGCTTTCCCGGCCTCCTCGCGACGCGGCTTCGTCTGCCCTGCGCTCCCGCAGTCATCTCCTTTATCTCTGAAAAGCAAGAAATAGTCAAGGTTTCTCCTTCAACTAGTTACAGCACTTGCATTCCAGGGCTGTAAGAAAGCCTGATCCAAYGGCAAGTTTTTTGAGGTTTTGGGTTTTTGTTTTTTTTTTTTTTTCCTTTTTTTAATCTAGTTTTCAACTTGTAACTGCAGAAGGTTCAAGTTTGCTGGAAAACCCAGGCTGACACTGTCCTTGTTTCACCCCGTTGCCACTTTCCTCTCCTTCCCGAGGCCCCAGGGTCCTGGATCCTGCCTTGGGATTGCTCCAAACCCACAGTAACGCTTGGGCTAACTGGGGCTTTTTAAGCTCTGTCTGACTCCAGGCATCCTTGAGAGCCCCTGGTTAATAAATAAAATAAATAAATAAATAAATAAATAAAACAAAGCTCAACCCTGCTCGCTCTGGTTGGGCCGTGCCCCTCGCTGGGAGGGGATCCAGCCTTCCTGGGTTTGAGAGAGCGGTTTCGGGGGGCTTGTTACTGTGGGGGTGTTGCAGGTTGGCTGAGGGGGACCCGGGGGGCATAGGGTTGCCCTCTGCCTCCTTCAGCCCCGTGCCCGCTCTTCTCCCGGCAGTATTTGAACATGCTGCGCACGTGCGAGGGCTACAACGAGATCATCTTCCCGCACTGCTCCTGCGACTCGCGGCGGAAGGGCCACGTCGTCACCGCCATCAGCATCAAGCACTTTAAGCTCCACGCGTGCACCGAGGAGGGCCAGCTGGAGGTGAGGGAGCTGCCGCCGCGGCGCGAGAGCTCCCGGAGAGCCGGGACTCCCTGCTCCSGCCGCGAGGCCTCCTGGCCTCCTTGGAGCTGCAGGGATTCAGCTGGCTGCTGCCCGGGCGTTAACGTGGCCTCCTGCTGCTCCCCCGGCTCRCTCTCGGGCCGCCCCGTTCCCCTTTGCGGGACTTTTGCTCCGTTCCTGCTCTGCCTTAAACCTGCCCTTCCCTGGAGGCTGCCGGCCCTGGGCTCCAAGTGAGGCTTTGTTCTTTCTTTAGAACCAGGTAATAGCGTTCGAATGGGATGAGATGCAGCGGTGGGACACGGACGAGGAGGGCATGGCGTTCTGCTTCGAGTACGCGCGAGGAGAGAAGAAACCTCGATGGGTTAAAATCTTCACCCCGTATGTAAGTGCCCCTGTTATCCGCGTCCTCGCTAACTAGAGGTTGTAACSCACTTATTTTCCTCGGAGAAAGGAAATAATTTCTGTGAGAGCGTGGGAGCGAGTGTCCAATGCTCCGGCCCCAGTCGGGGAGGAGGTGAGGAGGTAGGTGGCCACCAGGAGGAGCCAGCAGAGCGGGAGCTGGGCTGGCTGCAGCGGCGGCAGGGCCAGCGGCCCCGTTTCCATCCAGTTGGAAGCAGAGCCAGTTGCCCAGGACGTGGCTCTAAGCGGCGGCCGCTTTCTCTTTGCAGTTCAACTACATGCACGAGTGCTTCGAGCGGGTTTTCTGCGAGCTCAAGTGGAGGAAGGAGGTAAGAACCCATTGCTGCAGGGAAACGGCTTCACCCTTTCCACTGGGCTTTTTCCAGGCAAGCGTTCCTGCTGAGCCTGAATGGCAGCTTGCTGCTCCGACAGCAGGACCGATGTGGGGAGGACGGTCAGACACGTAGAGCAGTGATCCTGGCGCTGCCCGAGACCTGCTGCCCGTCAAAGGTGCAGCTCTGTCCCCRGGTGGAGAGGTTCTCGTTGCGGTCAGAGCAAGGAGCTTCTGGGCTTGGGCTGTTCCCTGGCCTGGAGACATTGTTCCGGTGCGACTGACCCAGGCAACCCCATCCCCGCCTGTAGGACCGTGGACAGCCGCTCCCTGGTGTCTTCCGTTGAAYGCAGCTGGCAAAACATCCGTCTTGTAGAGGGGGTTACGCAGGTTGCTGAATTATTCAGAAACGGCTGTGAGAGCCTCCAGCAAAAAGCTGCGGAGAAGAAGAGCAGGGCGGGTTGTAGCTGCCCTCGGAATCGCAGCCGCCGGCGCCCKCTCAGTGCCCGGCTGTGGAGGGAGGTGCCCGGCCGAGAGGCGGCTCCCGCGGCGGCTCCTGCCCTGCCCGGCGTGGGGCGAGAAGCCCTTTCCCCTGCGTGCTCCATCCCCTCGGCTCCGCTTCGCTCGGCTCCTCTCCTCCCAGGCAGGGAGGCATTTCTCACCTTGTGTTCATCCGCCGGCCTCTGTGTTGCCCCATTGCCTTGTCCCGTGGCTGTCAACCCAAGGGATTGCTCCCCTCTGCTCAGCTTGTATGGAAAAAGTAGGGAGGAGTTGGAAAAGCGATGACAGGGCTTGCTTAGCCAGCCCTGGGGTGCTCTGCCTTGGTGTTAGCCCCTTTTTGGCTACTGAACCACAGTGCTCTCTCRGGAACGGCTTGCCCCAGCTCTGTGCGGCCCTGGGGATGTTGCCCTCCCTCGAGGGACGAGAGAGAAGCAGCTGCTGGAGGCTGCATCCCCTCTTGTCCTCCGTCTGCTCAGTGTGTTGCCATCAGGACTCCTGCTGATGGCTTGTTTTGTGCTTGCTCCTGGATTTGGGTACCTAAAGCAGAGCGTAAATGCAGCAAGTYGGAAACCAGAGAAGAAAAGCTGCCCTTTTCYCTTCTCCTTCCTCTGTGCTGGGCCTAGGCCTGGGGCAGGGCCGTGGAYGCTCATCTCCACCCAGCTGGCATCTGGGTTGGCACTGTGCTGGGATGCAGGGAATGTGTCCAGTCTTTCCCTGAGTCTCCCGTTGCATTGTGAAGCAGAAGCTGCTCTGGATGACTCTCCAAACCCAGCTCCTGGAAAGACGGGCGGGAATCCGCTCAGGCCGCCTTAGCTGCTGTTCTGTCGGCCGGCCGTGCTGCTCCTGCCCTGCAGTCAGCCCAGCGTGTCCCATCGTGGCCTCTGCTCTTTATTTATGTCGTTTCTTTTTCCCTTGTAAAGGTGGAGGAGGAAACAACAGACAAGGATAACAAGAACTGCAGTAAAGACAATATGTGCAGCAAGGTAATTGGGCTGAAAACAAACAGCATCTGTGCTCTGTGAGCCAGCCTGGCCGCTGCGCTGTGAACTTAGAGTCTCCTGCCTCTGTGCTCCAGTCCCTCTTAGCTAGAACAGTCTCTTTGCCCTAGTGGCTTCTCCTTCTTCAAGGGAGCYGCGAAATAAAATTCCCTGCTGCTGCTTTTGGTGGGATGAGTGAGGGCTTGGCTCTTCAAGGCCTCTCTTGCGACGCTAGGAATGCTTTGGTGCTGCCTTGCCTTTCTCCTGGCCTCGACCAGGGTTCGGATAACCTGGATTGTGATGCTGCGGGCTTGGAGCTGCAGCTCCCTTTGCCTTCCCATAGGAGAGAGCCAGGGCACAGAGCTGTAAAGAGGCCAAGCGCTTTGGTTCCGCGCTTCCTTTCGAGGACCAAAGACTTAGTCCTGGAGACTGCGGCCTGATGYGTGGTTTGCTTTGTTTTCCCTGTAGTGATGGAGCAAAGACCTTTAGAGACTGACAAAYGCCCTTCTAAATGCCATTCCAATAGAGGGGAGCAAAGCCACTCGTGTTACAGCCCTTCATAAATGCATCTTGCCTCGTGCTGCTCTCTGCCTGTCCATTTTCGCATCAGCCGTGGCCAGCTCTCCAAGCCACAAGTCTCGCATGGCTTCGAGATGCACCAGGAGCCATCCACAAATGCCACCTGCGTGTCCCTAGGATGCTCTGCGGGGCCGGGAGCAGCCCCGAGCGCTCGGATGCTCCCGGGCTGCTGCTCCGCTCTCCATCTCACTTCTTTGCTCAGGCCTTTGCGCTCGCTGCGAGTTACTGGAGTGCAGCACCGAGGGAACGGCCCCGGTGCCAGCGGCATCCCCACAACCCCGGGCAGCGAAGGGGCTAAAAAGCACCTTGTGCCTGGCCTGCAAGCTGCAGGGCACTGTGCGGGATGGCCCCGCTTCCCAAAAGGCTCCGTTCCGCTTCCTGCCGGGGCTGAGGAGCAACTCGGGCTTCTTGCTGAGCATCGTGTGCCGTCTCCTGGGGCCTCCAGCACGGGGCCTTTCCCTAATGGAGCTGTAAATGGAAGCCAGGGGAATGGCTTTTCCTTCCTCCTTAAATTGCTCCTTCCGCCGTGCTAAACATCCCGTTACTTCCCTGCCAGGAAAATAGTTTGGTTTTTTTTTTTTCTCTTTTCTCCCCGTGTGAGTTGTAGAAGTCTGCATGGCTTTGGGCTGGCTGCAAGGAGAGAGGCCCTCAGTTCTGGCGCCCGCACCATCCCCAGCACCCCAAGCCTCGGCCACCCCGGCCAGGAAGGGTTAATCCCGAAGCGGGAGCAATTCCCACCCGCCACTTAGTCATTTTTCTCTCCCTGGTGTAAAACGAAAAGACGGATGGAGCTTGGCAGCCCCTTTCCCGACGAACGTAGCGCTGGGCACCGCGCGGGCGCTGCCGGCTGGCACGGGGGGGGCTCGGGAGGGCGCGGGCGGCTCCGCTCCCGCTCCGGAGCTSCCGCAGCGCCGCTCCCGGAAATCCCGCTGCTCGGCAGCGGCGCCGCTCCCGCTTTAATGCCCTTCTTCTTCTCTTGCAGAACATCTTTCAGATGGTCAGGTCACACCAGAGGGACGCGGCCACTTAGCCCCCCGGCGYGGAGCACCACCACACCTTGCCCCCTCCCCCTAAAAATTAACACTTCAAATTGTTATTGTATTAAAGCCCTTAAACTAAATATTATTAATAATAATGCCATTTGTGAATGTCATGTTTTTGGAATGAAGCGAGTAGAGAAGCRGCTAGAAAAGGGAAAAGCAAAGAGTTGGGGGGCAGCCCCCCCCCCGGCTGTTCAGGGGCCCCTTTCCACCTGCGYCCTGTGTTAAACATGGACTGGACTYATGTTTTTTACAGCTGCGTATAGAAACCTCATCCATTTGCACTGTTCAGACGTATGTATGTAAAAACAAATGCCCCCGAGCAGCTCTATAGCCAAAGGCCGTGCACGTAGCTACGTATATCTATTTCTTTTAAAAATTTCAGAGCGATGGCAGTACCTTTTTTTTTAAGCTTGTGGTTCTACATACGTCTGTCYTTCACGCCCGTCATCTTTCTGTGGAAAAAACCCTAACTTTAGAGAGAAAAAAAGGGTAAAAACAAGAGGAGGGGACAGGCGGAGCAGCGGCGCGGGGCGCCCCGGCTCTGCGCGCGCCCGCTCCTGGTTCCTGCTCCTGGGCGCTGGGGGGGCGGCGAGGGGTCCCGCTGGGAAGGGGCCGCCCTTCCCGCTCCCCTGGGGTCCCGGGGGCACCAACCTTGCGCCGCGCGGAGCAGCCC